CATCCCCGCCTAGTGCCTCTTGCCGCAAGGATGCCAGCAACGATCATTGAGGTCCCGCTGCATTACTCCACTGATCGGCGCATCCCCGCCTAGTGTTGTCGAGGTCCGCTTCACAATCGTGCCTGACATTCTTGATCTGCATTAATACTGATCCGCGATCCGCGAAGCAAGAATCCTCACTTCTGGTATGACGCATCGAACCACATGTCCATCATACAATCTCCGCAACGTGCCATGGATGTTCCCGATCGCACGGACAATTGAGCACGATTTCACGTTTGGAGCGCTTTTCTGAGTGCGATGACAGTTTCTGAGTGCGGTCTTGGCCTTTGGGGATCAGATTCACATCAGAGGTGCGTGGGAGATGCGATAGGTCACTGATTTTTAAAGTGGGTCAGAATTGCGACCTTTACTCCACTGATCGGCGCATCCTCGCCTAGTGCCTCTCGCAATGTACGTTGGCTCATTCTTCTGCCGCTTTCGCAATGCCGCTTTCGTGATTTCATGCAGTGCTCCATCTGTATGCCTTTCTTTACTTATGAAGGAGTTCACAGCTCGTACATCTCATTCTCGAGGAAACCAAACTCAATGGATCACCTCTCGCCTCTGGATCACTCTGCACAATCAGTCGACGGTACATCCTCTGAGACCCGTCGATCAGCGTACGTTTGGCATCACACTGTACGCATCCCATTGTCGCTTGTTTGTTTGCCTTCATGCCTACTACGTTCAGGTGTCTGCACCCCAAGTGGATATTACCCCGCTCACGTTGGGCTCAAACCCGTGGATCACTCAGACGGTGCGTACAGCGATATAATCCAAATGACTCCGGCTGACTCTAACGACTACTACCAGCCGGAAACATATATCGCCGCTCACGGTACAGAGAGTGAGAGGGAAGTGGGAGAACTCCTTGACGAAGGAGAGAGCTCGGAAGATGAGATGATGCAAGGCATGTCGGAAGGAGGAACTCAAGTGGCTGCTCAGGTTCGTGTTTGATGCGGCTCCCCTGTGAAAACATTGTCTCATTCGTCTCATTTGTGCGCTGCTAGATGGCACCTGTCATTCTGCAGTCAAGGTTCCAGCATCAGAATGCGCCCCTGCCCGGTAAAGCCTCTCATCTGAGCGCACAGCGTACTGCGTCCTCCGGTGCTGTGGTGCGTTTTGAGATTGCATCAATGCCCGAGGTGAGTCCATCCCCTTTGCATATGTCTCTGCATTCAGATGAGTGAAGCCCCGTGAGGATGAACGTCCTATGGGAAACAATCAGGACCAAAACGTTGCCGCCAAAGCCTGGAATACACAATCTCCTATTGCTGGCATACCGCCGTCTGCTTTCGCAAATGAGCCCTTCGCACAGCTCACAGACAATGGTCTTGCATATCCTGATCTGCCATCAGGCACATCAGGTGCATCGCCAGCAGGATCTGTCAATGATACTGAACTGTCCAAACTCATGCAGGCCATGTCGCTTGCCGTAGCAAACGGCATTGAGAAAGGGGTTCAGGAAGCCTTGAACACAATGCGGGCAGAACGCAAGAAAGCCCCTAGCCGGGCTGAGGCCGATGAAAGAGGATATTACAGAGACGAGGACGAAGTTGGAGACGTAGAACCATCTACGACCAGATCTCAGGGCCGAACAGGTCCTCGAGATAACAATTTACTTAACGTGCACACTTGCAATTACTCGTTAACAGGCCGTGGACATCTGAACAATCTTCATAGGCTTGTTTCTGGGACTATCTATGAGACAAGCGTGTCCTGCCCATGAAAGGTCAGCTGCCTCGTAGCGCATCCCTAGCGGCAGTCAAGGCTTTTGCAGATGGGTTAGGCGATGGGCCAGACATTGACGAACCGCTCGTAGATTGGGAGCACGAGTTGAGCACACCTTGGAACAAGGAACTCCTCTTCTTGTTGTCAAAGAGTTTCCTTCAACGGATCAAGTCTGGTCAGGAATTTCCCCTGACCTTTGATCCTGACGTCATCATGCAGCCTGGCCTTGAACGCTCTTGTACTGCCAAGTTGCGACGAGTGCGCATGCAGCTCCGTAATATGAGAAGAACAGATGCACTCCCGAAGAACGGTGAGGAGAATGCCGCATTACGTCGCAACACACGCCACCAAGGGGTACATTCCTGGCTTATTAAAAGCGTGCTATCACTTACCAACCACGCAGATATTTAACCGGCGAATGAATATCATCAACGCCAACAAGACTGCAGCACAACCACTCTGGAGCACCATCAAGGACGCTCTTAACATGCTCGATGTCATGGGCATGAGCTCAGATCACACAGACGATGAAGCCAGCCAGGACTTTAAGGTCGTTCGTCGCGCTAAAATGCCATGGCGTCATGAAGATCTTGACGTGCTGTGTCATGCCATAGACACATATCGGACTGTATCTACGGTCCCTCAGGCTAGAGGAAACCGAACGCTGCCACGTCTGTCCCAACTCTCGACGGGTTCCCCGAAATCCCACCGTCAATATGTTCGTGGCCTGCCGAATTCATTCTATGATCAGCAGTGGCTGTCATCTCTAACAAGAGTAGAGCGCCGCAAAGTAGGATTCACCAAGGTGATTGACATACCTCAGCTGGTGAGCCGTATATTGGATGGAAACGTGAATTATTGCTCACAGTGGATCATAGGCCGTGCATGAGGCATATCATACCCAGTGACTACCACGAAGAGGCTAAGCACCTGGCCAATATCCTCCATTGTCCTTAGTGTCGGTGAAGGGCAGCACCTTCCAGACATGGACTGTATGAGTGTTTTTCTGTCCATTTCGTCACGCCGTATTGTTGTATTAGTGGCAGACTCTTTTCTTTTTTTCTCAGAATGACGATTGAATTGTGATACGTCAACCAGCGAGCATCATGCATGGCATTGTTTCACTGTTGTATAGTAGGATGCAGAATACATCATATTCAGATTGAAAAAGCTGCGTGAAAGGTCGTGATAATCATACAGATAAGCGCAACAGGACTACATTGGGTCGAAGTCATTTCATGAAGTCTCAATCGTCAGTCTTTTCAGTGATATAGGATGACGGGGCGATGTCGTCGTAGAAGGGATTATCGGGAGTGTTGACGGGGTTAGTGGCGTAAAAGGCATTCGATGTGCTTGCTTGCTTGGTAGTGTAGCGTCTGCGCGTCCTCAGGGCCACACCTGCAGCATCGTCGTTAGCGATGGAATGTTTGCGAATGCTCGTCGAAGCGGATAGGGCTGCACTGAAGTCGATTGATTCGCTCCGGGACATGGGCAGAGACTCTGGCATGGTGGACCCACGGGACGGGCAGGGCGAGTCGGTGAGGTCGCTCAACTCGCTCGAGGACTCGGATTCGGCATCAGAATAGTCCGACTGGTGATAGTCCGGGTAATAGTCCAAGTAATCAAGTGCTACGAAAGCATTAAAGATCTCTGATGGAATGATATCGAAATGCTCCGTCCAGTAATCGAGCATTCTGTGGCACAGCAAGGAGTATTCTTCAGGAATTTCCCATCGTGAGTTTTTTTTTACCGAGAGCCAGCAGCTTTGTGGTCGTGCTCATGAACACGAATGCGGGGTGAACCTGGCTCTTTATACGGACATTGTATGGAAAATTGATTATTTCTTGGGCTGCACCTGGGTGACTTTCCCGGATGAAGGATGGGCAGGCTTTGCTGAGTGAAACAACTTGATACTCCCAAGCTTGCATTTCAAATGCCTGGGTGAATTCTCAGGTGTTAGTGGCTTGTTAATCAGAAAAGATACAAGGATAACCCACAATTGAGAATTGTACCTGGCGCTCTTCTGCTGTGAACCGTGAGCGACGTTCAAAGATTTCTAACAGCTGGTCCAGCACTGCCGGTGACATGAGCCAGGCAGTCTTGCCACTGTCATACAATGTGTGTTGCGTCGGTGACACTGAATGAAACTAGTCAAGAGCTGCGAAACAGATTGTAGTAAATACTTACTGGAAGCAATGTTCTGGCTGCAATCAAGGTTCAACGAATCAGGGAACATACCAAGGTGATATTCCAATCGACGTGTCTGTTAAGGCAGTCAATTAGTCAATATAACATTCAGGAGTGATATATGATGCACGATTTCTTCAGAGGTTGCCCGTGCCAGGATATGCGTCAGGTGAACGGGGCCCATCTTAAAATTCCACATTTCCATCACATAGTGCTTTCCGCCATATAGAAGTGCCTCAATTCGCTTCCTTCCTCCTACGAACTTCCTTGGCAGTCCATGGACTCTCCCAATAGGAGTAACAGATGGCGCATTTTGGGATGCAGGTGGCGCGTTTCGGGATACAAGACTCTGCCGATTAGACTTGGCCTTGTATGACCTGGAGCCAGGGCTCAATGCATTTTTAGGCTTCTCAGGCACCTCAGGTGACCGGTCAAATGAGACCGAATTGCTGTATCTCCGATTTGGAGCTGGATCTGAACGAAGGCTGTGTACAGAGCGAGTAGAGTGAGTACGGGCAAGAGACTTTGGAGGCTCTTCAGTTCTATGAGACATGGTGTGCTACCGGCTGCTATGTGAATGAAAAGGAACGAGAGAAACCAACGCGATTGACGAAATGAATGCGATCGACAAGTGGGTCACGTCTTCACGTGACTGTGTTTCACGTATTTTGTTGATTTAACTCGTGGCTAGCGGCAGCTTGCTCTACTGTGCATTCCGTTTCACGCGTCAGTCCGCTTATCCTGTACTGTCGCTCCTCGCCCGCACCGTCATCTCTTCACTCGCAAGCAACCAATTGACACCTCTGAATACCCACTGCCAATTCTGAAGTTGAAATGGATTCTTTACCACTGGAGTTACTTTCCAATGTTGTCAACGACGTCGACCCTGAAATTGTGGCGGATCCTCTCCTGCTGGAGTCACTTTCCACCACTGTCAACGATGACTCACCTGCTCAGTGCTATCATCTTATCCCACTGGACATGAAGGAACAAATCCATTATGTGCGTTTTTGTCTCGGTGGTCTTGTCACCACTGACGTGATCGTCGCTAGATGCATGCCTATGAGTGGCACTGGGGTATGGCGAAGGATACTCTCGATCTAGAAGCACCGTCAAATATCATAACCTGTGAGAAATCTTTCTTTCTTTCTCATTGTGTCCTTGCTCACGTTGGTACCACAGTACGCCCAGACATGCATGCCCACCTTCAAGCAAAGTGCTGGGCTCTGATCCCGATGCGCAGTGCCATCGACTCCATCATCGACATGTCCAAGCACAATTATTCCTGGCCTGATTGGCATGGCGATGATCGTCGTCAGAGCAGCTACCCAGTACGTTGGCGATGTTTTTAATTAACACATCCGTGGCTTAATATGAGCTTTGCTAGTTAAACGAAGATAAATTGTATGAGTACGAGCTGGTTCCTACCGGACTCGACCCCCCACTGCACAGCCAGACACTCAGCTCTTCCCGCCGCTACGATGCCCCATATGACCAACTTCCTCATGTCCTCTCTCGTGTGCATCCCTACTTTGTCATTCTCCACTTCAAGAAAATGGTTTCCGACTACACGTTTCCATTGACACGGCTTCCTCCCCGAATGACAAATAAACTTACGAATAGTTTGGTTGCCATAGTCTCCAGATGGCAGACTGGCATTCCTGCGTCATTCCTGGCTCCCCGCTCTTCACGGTGTTCCCGATCTGAAGCCTGCTTGGACAACGACACTGACGAAACTTCCCCGTCGAAGCGGCAGAAGCGCTCGGATGGCTCCTCCAAAGTACCAGAATTGACGAATGGTGCTACATGTCCTGAAAAAGGCATCAATGCCAAGTTACGTACGACATCGCGCATCGAAAACAAGCTACTTTCTGATGCACCCCTCCCTCTCCTGGATGTGGCCCATCTACCCATTGAGCCAGTCGACATTCCAGCCTGGCTGAGTGCGATGCAGTCCGCCACGAGTGCTCCTTCAGAAGACGAGGGCAAGAATGTGTTCAATGGTGAGGCTGGGGTTCCAACAGTCAATGGCGAGCCTCGAGATCCAACACAAGACAAGGGCAAGAATGTGTCCAATGGCGAGGCTCGGGGTCCAACAGTCAATGGCAAGCCTCGAGATCCAACACTCGACGCATACAGAGCTGAGCCCTGGCGGGAAGGCCAGAAGCTCATCGCAGATGAAGTCAAGTTCTCCCGCATTTCGTTGCTTAGTCAGGAGCTCGATACTGCATATTTTAGCAGCCACGATTGGGCATGGAAGAAGCATTGCAGCCGCTTATGGAGGTAACAGCTTAGTAGATTGTCTGTTAGTTGTATTTTATTAGTATTGTAACAAGTATTGAGCACTGCAAATGGACGCGATCGCGACGAGTTCAACAAACGAAGAATAGCAGTAGGCATATCTAGGGTACTGAGCTTGAATGTTCGAACCGTTGCATGAGATCTCAGGGTTGCTCGGCATGAACTGATCTGGGCGGTCGGATTTTGTTAGTATCCCCAACTGCACGAACTTGCCGCTCAGGACTGTAACGCACATTGGAGGCTCCATCTTGAATTTGTGGCGATTATTCCTCAACCAGACAATGGCGTCAGCATAATCATGGTCCCGCTGCCTCAAGCTATATGAATGAATGAGTGCACTATTCGGTGTGGCTAAAAGAGATACACTCACTTCCGTAACTGCAAATCGACAGTCACTTTGATTTTGGACTTCTGCTTCCCTTGCACGTCAAGCAGTTCATGGGTTCAGCTTTGCACGCTCCACCAAAACACGTTTCTTTCTAAGATGCTCGGCGTCAGCGGTCTCTCGTCCGCCTCCAAGATCGCCCTCCTAAACGCAAAGTACATGGCACACCGTCTCTCCGGACACTACAACCTTCAATTCAAGAACGGCAACGGTCATGTGGCGCACAGGTTGCTTATTGACCTGGCCAAGTTTGACAAGGCTGCCGGAACCAAGGTGACCCACTTTGCTAAGCGGCTGCAAGTGCGTACGATATTTCTAAGAGAGTTTTATTTTGTGGACTGATAGATGACTCCTTGTAGGATTGACGTTCTTGGCCTATCTCAACCGTGCTACGGGCATAACCTAAGAGAACAAGGTTCTGAAGAACCACCATATGCGTCCTCGATGGAGGACGCGAAAGAGAAACTATTGTGGCCTGATGACGCATTTTGAGATCAGCCACTTCAGGACAGGGTGGCGCCGAGTCACGGGGTTAGATGAGTCACGGGGTTTAGACACCACTGTAGGGCAGGCTGGCACTGAGGCACGGGATATAGATGCAGCGTGGCACTTCGGTTCTCTTCTTTTCTTACTTTCATCTTCTCGTCCCCCCCGTAGGTAGACTAGATTAGTTGTCGCTAATTAGCTATTGAAGTTCGTGTAACGGGTCCCCAGAATCGATAGATTCCAAACGGACCCTTGCACGGTCGCGAAAGTGAGACATCGGCGCATCTCCATGTAGTGCCTCCCGCCTCAAGCCTGTGCGGAGCGAGTTTTCTCACGTGTATCCCTTCGTGTTAATGTGCACACAGGCACGTTGGTCCTTTGAACAAGTGGTATAAATATCGAATACTCTTGTTGCAGATGGCGCAGGCGAGTACGAGTTTCTAACAATGTGAACATGCACTGACAGTGGCTTGTGACAATAGGAATTGGCCAGATGATATCTGGATCTCGAAGCGGCAGTTGATAACGAGGTAGAGACGGATGAAGAAAGTGAGAATATCGAAGGCAAGTTTAAGCGTACTTTCTTGCATTACAGTGACAGGGACATTTATGCCACCACAGATCTCATCGACGATGAGACAGCTACCACAGCAAGCGACGTTCACCCCCAGCTTCTGCAAATGATCTATCCCAGAGCAGATGATGACGGTGCGCAAGCTCTCGCACAACACTACCAAGAGCTGGCCCGCAGGGAGAGAACCGTGATCGATGTTGAACACGCTGCAGAACTTCTTCTCTCGTCAGAGACAGATTCGAAACCCATCACGCCAGGTACTTGGGTGAGAATCCAACATAGGCATGGTCGATATGCTCGTGCCCTTGCCTATGTGGAACGCGTACATGAGGATAGGTTGATCATATGGGCGAAAGTTCAGCTGACAGGTGCCTCCTCGACTTCACACGTTCATCTGCCTTCCGGTCTCGTTGCTGTCCAGAGTACAGTTGATGGCAAGATTTCTGGATCACGAAAGAAGGATACCGCGCTTCTGGTCCGGAAGGGCATCATTAAAGATGGGCTGATACGCCTTCGATCTGAAGCTCACTTCGTGATATCACTTACAGACACCCCTCATGAAGACGAGCTCGCACTGTTCATTGAGATACCGTGGATTCCGTCCGAAGCGAGGAAGGAGATCATAAGCAGGGCATACATAGCCACTTTGGCTGTGGATGATCGTGTACGAGTGGTGTCTGGGCAACTGGTCGGGCTGGAGGGGAGCATCCAGAGCATCCAGGACAGTATCGCTGAGATAGCCGTCGACATTCGTCCGATAGGAGCGGCGACTGTGGAGCTGGCCGCTCTCTGGAGACTCCACATGCTGGGCGACAAAGTCGAAGTTGTGAGAGGTGCACATTGTGGTAGCCGAGGGTTCATCCTGTCCATACAGATGAACGAACTGAATCTATGCTTGCACGGCAGCAATCAGCAGGTGAGCATTGCACTACACTTAATATATCCCTGACTAGTTCTTGGGCAGATCACGGTGGAGTGTTTCAATGTCATCATGGACTACAAGCCCACAGCCCGCAATCCGATCCCTATTTCGTACAATCAGACATCACAGGTAGTCATAAACCCGATGGAGATCGAATCACACGAAAGCCAGTCCATTAGGGTTTCTCGTCAAGAACGGAACCCATACATAGGTCAGTGGGTGATTGTGATATCCGGTGCCTGGAAAGGACACAGGGGCCTGCTGAAGTTCGTGTATAACCAGCACCATCAGGTGCAGCTGGAGGCTCCTCAAGGGCGCGTTAAACTTTATGTTGCGAAGGAACTAGCTTTGTACAGGTATGCTGCATCATCTACAGCAATATGAAATGCCCACTCATAATGCAACCAGAGATAGCGGTCGTATTATCCCGCTAGTGAACAATCAAAATGGAACTGTGGAACCCGACTGGCCATTGGAACCGGAAATGGAAACGCCAGCTCTCGATGACGGCTCGTCGACTTCTCTCCCCATTCCTGAACCATCAGACAATACACATTATGAGCCTGCATGGGACCCAGCATCGACCGAAGCGGATGTAGAATTCGCGGCCCTTCAGAGGAGGCTGACAGCGGATCTGGCAGCCCTTCAGCCACCAGTTACAACTGACGACGTGCCTCATGAACCTATATGCGTCACGACTGGTAAGTCCGCATCTCCTATCAACAAACGTTGAGAGAATCTGATAGTCCTGGTAGAACTCGGCGCCATCCTGCTCAACCCGGCCTTACGTGAAGTGTTCCCGATACTACGGGAGATTCCTCTCCGCATGACTCGACAAGAATACCGCAACGTCTATCAGAGCGTCTACCTTCACATGAATGATCTCGTTGTCGATGAAAATGCCCAGGAACTCAGGGTGTCAGTATATTT